TTTTTTACCTCTAATACACCACTATGTCCAACTCCTTTGAGCACACGCACGACTTCCTGTGCGTTACGCGCTCACGCGCTCTGGCGTAGTTTACATTAATGGGTGTTGTCGCGGGAGGAGCAAACAACAGACACAGTTTATTATAAACAAAGTGTGTCCAAAATAAACAGGGGATCTGGTGTCCTCGTCGTGCTGTGGGGTTCGTGAAGGGAAGGGCAGTGGTCAGGAAGGAAGGGTCCAGGTAAGGGGCAGAGTCCGGCGGCCGCACGCGCTCCCCTCTCCAGTCCGGGGCGCAAGGGGTGGCGGCTTCTATCAGCGGCTTCGTCCTTCTCTCTGCCCACGGTGCTTGAAGGGACTAGACGGCCCAGCATCCTTGCCCGACGGCCATGTAACGGGTGCGGTTCTCGTCCGGACTGCAGGTCCGACAGCTCACGACTCTGGCGGCACGGGAGTCCCTCTACGCACCCCTCCTGGACCCACGAGGACACTATCGTGCATGCACGGGGAAGAGACCGGTCTCCCGAGGAGAGGCGCTCGGCATTTAAACAGCGGCGGTGATGAGGCTCCATTCGGTTCAGGTGCGCCCCATCACACGCCGCCAGCCCTGGCTATTGCAGCGCCCCTCCTCTCACACGCACCTAATCCTGTCGGGAGCCTGGCGAAGGGCGGCGATTAAGGGACGGGGTGATGCTGATAATTAGGGGGAGGCAGCCGACTCGTCACAGTGTGTTGATATCCAGCTGAAGATCAATCAACCATAACTTCAGGCAAGCAGGCTCAGAAGTCATAATTAAAACTATAATAGTATCTCAATGATGCTGAAATTACACTGGTGTAAACAACACAGGCGGATTTAGTGATTTGGGGGCCCCAGGCAAAATACAGGAATGGGGCCCTATACAATTTCACACATTTACAACCTTGAGGTTCCTTTCACTGTTGCTCGCTGCTGTACGACCGTGTCCCATAGTTGTGTCTAATCTTTTAGATTTTTCATGTACATGTTATAAATAAAGGATTTCTTTAATGTTGTAAATCCCTTGTTCACATTTAAACAGGTTATAATAGTATTATAGAGAGTAGGTTGTATTATATAAGAGTAGGTTGGACACTAGGTGGTGCGTTGGGGTAATTTTTACTATGCAGTCGTCTACGCAACACAAGGCTGTATAATTCTAAACTTTAAAATATACACTTATTTTTTATTTATTTTAATTGCACATTTAAATTAAACTGAAGGAAATTATAAATTTAAATGCTTAAGGATTATTTCAACCAAACATGAAGTGTGCCTGTGTGGAAAGTGACTGTGCATGGTCCTTCTTGGGTCTTTCACAAAAACGAGTGAGCGCAATTTAAAAAAGTTAAAATAGACCGTATATAATATGCACTGTTGCGTAGTATTAAAATTATAGCTTCAGATGCGGCAAAAACACTATTTAGCTACTACAGACGACAACCGTGAGCGTTGCTCGTGCAATAGCAAACGAAACGCGCGTCTGCGCCGTTCATTCCGTCACATTCCACGCTACACAGTAAATTCAGTTTTTATGAATAGATTCCGGGATTCCGTCCCCATTTTCTACATCGCCCTACTTTTGCTAAAAAGCATGTTCAACGTGGATGCACAGACGGTTGTCGTGGTAATGAACACCAGAGCAACCACTTGCGCGTCTGCACTGAATGCGCATCTCTCATATAAAAAGCATTTTAGGGGGCCCTTGGCTTTTGGGGGCCCAAGGCGGT